TTTTTCTGTATAGTTTTAATCAGCCCTACAAACACCATGATCTTGATTCACAAATGACAGATTAACTTCAAAAGTGTGATAATTATGTCAAATGGGTCTTGCAGCTAGTTTATTTTCTACACAGCACAGCTGTAGGGAACTATAGACAACCAGCTGTATCTTCCAAAAATAGCACATTACTAAAAAACCCAGCAAACAGCTTAACGATCTCGTCTCTTCATACGTTTTTTAAAGCAGAGGTGCCTCCTGCAATTAAATGGTGGTGAGAGCGATGCCGCAAGGGATTCTGGGAACAGCCAGGTCAAGTGGTCGTGCTGCAGCATATGCTAGACAGCAGATTGGGTCAGAAGGGTAGCGCGATCTACAGATGTAGGAAACCGACAGGCAATTTACCATGAAATAAAACAAAAATTGCCGTTTCACAGTAATCAAGGAGTACTGTATCCTCCCATCTGACTTCATCTGGAATTCCACCCTCGCTTTTCCACACTTGTGCATTACAGATTTTAGATTTTTGCTTCCAAGTACAGATATGTTGCTCAATAATTTCTCTTGTCATATTCAAGAGGAAAAATAAGTCAAAAGCCCCTTTGTTCCCAATCAGTCAAGTGCAGCCTAGTTAGCTGTAAGGCGGCAAATTAAAGGATTAAGCTGGGCAAATGACAGATAGCGATGATGCTTTCATGAAATTCATCAAATAAGGTCTCTAGACCATAGGCGGACATGCTATTAAGCAGTAAATCAATACCGCTGAAGGTCACTGCCATTGCTTATGTTGATTAAAATAAAATGACATCCCACACAAATCAATGTGAAGCCAAAAATTTACTATCACAAATAAAAACAGCTGATTTGTCATTTGTGGCCATGCAAACTGCAAGAATAGGCAGGTTTGCATCTACAGTTAGACCCGTGTGGCTCAGTGCCTAGGAGAGCATGGTGAGGGGCAGCACACAGATCCACGAAGGATGTTCTCTTGCCTGCTCAACACACCAATTAGGAGTTCTAACCAGTTATGTGGATGCAGAATAAAAGGCCCGTAAACACACCCCGCAGCAGGTACTACTGCGCTGCCATTACTGCTCTCTGTGAATGAAGCAGTGGATTAAAGCACATGGCACATTTTACCTTCTTTGAACATTGCTGAAAATGTCACAAAGAGACATTTAATTAATTTATATTCACTGCAACACACGCTGCCCAAAAAAAAATACTGCATGCCCTACTTTTTTTCAACACACACCACCACAGCGAGGTGGTGTGAACTGACACCACAAGACACAAGGCAAAGCTGGTCTATGCATTGACCTAGGCTGTCCACCATAGTCCAACGCATCTGGTGGTAATGGGCCCTTAAAGTGACACTAAACTCAAGAGTTATAACTCAAGCTCACTCCCATGATGGACTACAATCTCATGTTTAGGTTACTAATTTGTATTAAGATTGTAGTCCATCATGGGAGCGAGCTTGGAGTGGTGGCTACTTTACAACACACACAGGGACCATGGGGAACAAAAGTAGCCACACTCCAGAAGGAAGGATAGTCTCAACATGATCCAGAGGTGATTTGAGGATCTACAGCCGAGTGATACGCAAATAAGATACATTTTTGTTAATCGTTAAGGGACTTCAATGCATTTTTATGATTTAACTCCTGAGTTTATGATCACTTCAATTTTGGATTTAGAGTCTATGTAATGGTTACCATATTCAAAATACATAAATAAGAAGGTCTGCGTCAATTGTCTGCTACAGGCCCCATATGCTAAGAATTTTTTTTACCCACACAATACATAAAAAAACAAGTAAATAGCTCTAACTTTATATATTTCTTACTGGATTTTTTTGTGTGGGGGGTTTCTAACAGTTGGGGGTTTCTGCAGAGACTAACTGAAAACATAAATCCCAAGACTCCCTTAGCAGATCAGGACTTTGCCATTATTAGCAGTTGCTAGCATGGTTTCTCATACCTGTGATTGAGTGTCCACGGTGCTAATTATAGCCTGGCTTCAAATCTGCAGCTATTGGATGGCAGGTACCTGTGGTTTTGCAGCTCTGAATCAGATGACTCAGTATGATCGATGTATCAGCTACCTTGAGAGAATGATCTTTATGAAGTGCATAGTTTCCAGTAAGAAACAGCAGAGCACGGGTGTGCTGGGGTTAATATGTGCAATAGCACTTCTACTTGCAGGAAACTGATTTAAAATGACATACAATGAACTAAACGAATACAGAAGCCAAGAATCGGTGTACCTGCCATTTTTTTTTGCCGAATACATTATCTGCTAGATACATTTATAGACTTGGCTACATTCTATAAAGGATGCAGTGATATGGTAGTTGTCCATTGTGGATTACCCTAAACTCAAAGATAATCTGATTCTACGTATCTGTTGTTCATTGTTGTACAGAGCACCTGTTTTATTGTTACTTGTTATTTGCTTCAACTGGCTACATGTTACAAGGACACAGCGCTATGGCATTGTGCTATTGTAGCGAGAATTGAACCATCGTCCCCCTTTTTTTCATTGCAGGAAAGCACTACAGAGCTCCGTGATAGAACATCTATTCCTGCATTCCATAAATCATACTGCTACTATAGCGGTGGTATGGCGAGACCTTGATTTTATCTTATCCTGTCGTCTGAGCACCCATCGTTTATGGACTATACAGGGCTTGTTTGGATAATCAGCTAATACCTGGCTGAAATGCCAGCAGTGGAAGGCTTCGGGGTAAAATGTGCTATAAACATTGACTTATTGTGATGCCAATGGTATAGGATCATGACTTTTGTATATTATTCTTGATGGAATTGTAAAGATTTGTTATATATATTTGTCCCTGAGGTTCCTTATACCATTTCTCTTCTTTTTGTATGCAAGAAAACCAAAAAACGTCACTCAGGTGACTACTATATACTGCCGTAGGAGGTCTGGTGCCTTTAATAACCTGTCGTGGGTCCATTTTTATAATGATCAATTAAAATGAATGGATGAAGTGGTGGAACCTTAGTCTAGGGCAACTATATATATTTTCTACCTTACCTTTTATATACTCTATAGTATCCTTTTTTTTAATAGATATCTTAATAATATATATATATACATCTCTGGGCAAATATGCATCTGCACTAGCTAGAATGTGTGGATAAGAGTGGGAACCTTACCAAAAACTGGATCTAGGGTAACTATATTCTTATTTTAGAGTATCCTTTATATATTTTTTACTGTATATTATCTATTTTATAGTCCATTTTATTCTATAAACTATATTTTATTTTTTATATTACATTTTATGTTATATTAACTATATTTAACACTAATTTATACCATTTCATTTTCTATATTTTTGTATTGCAGATCTAGTTGATAGATTTCTATTCTAGATTTTTATTTTAGTTTAGGGCAACTATTAGTTCTGCACGATCTATCGTTTTTTTTATCTGGCAATGTGACAAAAAAAGAAGTAAAAAAACAGTAGCTTGGGATTTTGCTGTAACCTAGGAGCATCAGACAACTGAAAACAACAATAAACGCTTTAAAAAATAATAATAATGTAACCACAGAAGATTTCCAGCACTCTCCCAAGCATTACACAAAAAAAATAAATGTCAGTTTCACTGTATGAAGGTTTAAAGAATTGGCAGTTGTGGAATATTTTTAATGCATACTCAGGCAGGTGTTAAATAAAAATGTAATGAAACATTGATCATCTGCCTATTCTACAACGAGAAAAGGTCAGAACCTTTGTCAGGTTTTTACTGCTAGGAAATGTGGAGGGAATAAGAGCACCACAGAAATTGTGTAAGTCCAGGAAATCTCTATTCTGTACAATAAGAGGTCACAAGAAACATTCGAACGTTTCAGGGACTCAGTACTCCGTCAGGTCTTAAATTCTGATAAATAGGGAGAAGATTGGACAACAGATTGTAAAATAAAAGTATAAGATTTTGTTTGTGCGGGTCAGGCTATTACCGCTGTCCATTTGCCCTTTTGGGAAATTCCGCTTGCTTCCTGCCCCATGGCCAATTTCGTCAGGGCAGGTACTAAGTGGAGGGGCACAAAGAAAATAGTACAATAGCAATAAAAACATTTTAGTACAGTGGGGAATGGGAAGTATCTTCCAACCCCCGCCCAATTCCAGGTCTTGTAATAGTGGTCAGTAATAGAAATTCAACCCAAACATTGCTGCCTGCTTTTCAAACATACTTAAAAAATATCACTAACAGAATCACATTTTCTTCTCCAATTCAATAAGAGAAACAAACTTCTGGTCTAGATTGCTATTATGGGAATTAAACCAGAAAAGCTAGTTCAGTCAACTATACTTTATCTGCAGGCAACCATTTCAAGATGGTCACTTTCACCTTATGATGATAACCAAGCTGAACAGCTAAAATGAAACCAAATCATCTCAGTTATGTTTAAAATGTTCTATATACAGTACATTTTACAGTTCCATATAATAGAGTTCCATAGAAAGTCATAAAGTGGCAAATTATATATATGGACTCCGTTGACAATCTGTCAAGATTTACAGGCGCTACATGCAAGGAGTCATGCAGGGCACAGTTTTCCAGTCCATTTATCATGACCCAAAAGGTCAGGGAAAAAAGTGCTGTGCTAAGGCATGCAGGATGGTTTAAGAATGTGTTATCATTCTTCAACTGATGGTCTTTGACAAAATGGCACCTCAGTGTGTTCTTTGGGGCGTGACAATTTATAGAGCCATGTGTCATCTGAAGCACAACCATATTATGGGAAACAAGAAGCCAGTAGATGAAGAATGAGTGATAGCATCAAGTATGACCAACAGAGCTTGATATCAAGTAGGAGAATTGTATGAAATGTCAGCACTGTGACTTGCTGAACAGAAGAGAAGCCATTTTGTCTTTAGAAGGATGTACTTGGTGCAAGATTTTGTCAATGCTAAGCAATGCCACACAGCCACACCATACCAGTCGCAACATGCAGTTCAATACAATACACTCATTTACCTCTCACAAGGACGTCCTGGCGGTAGGCTCTGCTCCCGAGGGCATTGGTGACTTCACATAAAAACGACCGGTTTACGCGTTCATCCACTTCGTCCACATACAACATATTATCTTTTGCCCGGACAGTGGGTGGAAGCGAAGATCCATCAGCTCTGAAGAGACCAAAGTGTGTTGAATTTAATTTCAGAACCTCTTGGCTACCATTACCAAATAAAGGTCAAGAAATAGCAACACATTTACAAACATTGGAGGTGTTGGGTTTAATAAACGTGCATGGGCAAAGCAACAGGACAGGGTGCAAAGAGTTCCAAATTTCTGCTACTGGTGGCCAAACTGAAGAGCAGGGGAGTAAAATGTAAGCGAGTATGTGTGACTAAGACGGGTGGACATTAATTGAACTTGTCTCTTCCTGCACAGACAAACCACACTTCAAAAGCAGAATTTCTTGTCACCTTTATTATCCATGTAATAGTTTATAATGCAGATTAATTAGTAGACCTTAGTAAACCAGTAGTTTGGCCTCCACCCAAGCCATCCTTTGTTAATTCACCTGCACACCGACCACAAGGAGGACTTAGTAAGAATGAGTCCTTTTTCTTTGGGATTTTTAGCTGATGCTTACATGAGTCAGTGGTGAGGTCCTGATATAATTGAGCTGGTGCAACACTCGCTTTGAAAAAGAACAGAACAGAACCATGCCTTTTAAAGATAAAACCTGGTTTCTAAATCACATCAGTTTTACAAAATTGGCCCCAGTGCATTTCATTTTTTATTGCCATTTGGTCATACTGTAGATCACCCTTGTTCATGCACAAACCACAGAGGCGACACTTGAGCCTTCAGCACCGTTTACTTCTCCATACTTACGTTTTCCATGTGTACGACGTGGGATGAGGATTTCCTTTAGCGCTGCATGTCAGAAAGACGCCGTTGCGTTTTAAATGCCAGTTATCATCATATCCTTCGACAGTAACCTCAGGGGGATCTGCGAGAAAAATGAAACCAGTTCAAGGAGCTGAAGTGAGTATACTTATATGGGTGAAGGATCCATTCTCATTTATGCGTTGAGAATGCATGGTAAGACATCCATATTGCGGTGTATTATTGCAACATACATTAATGCAATGTGCTGCGCTGCTGTCCTTTATTTTGCATTGGTGCATTTTTTTAAGTGTACTGCCAACCCATTCAAAATGAATAGGCTGCCTCAATTTAGCACCCCTTAATGCATGCCAAAGTGTTGCAAACACACACATGTAATAACAATATATAGTCCAAATAGGTCCCAACTGTGGAATAGTTGTTTTTATATATTTTTTTCTTCCTTTGATGCATTTTAGCACTGTTTGCCTCCTGTATCTTCCTGTTAACATGCATGCACTTCAGCAATGCCCCCATGGCATTTACCTCAGCATGTTTCCTGTTACCATGTCAGAACACCAAAACCTGCCTGTGCAATGTGCATTAGCATGACCACTTGTAGTCTCCATTGGGAGAGCATGTGGCAGGTTGACAAAACAGATGAACAGTTTGAAGACAGCAACAGTGCTGTGTTGTCATTCTACAGCAGGAAGTGCTTGAGAACAGGGACTGTTATGCAGGGGCATCCGGAGGCCGGGTGTCACCCGGAGCGGTTACCGGGTGACACCCCGCCGTGACATCACAGCGCATGTGCGGCGATCTTATTGATACCTGCCGGCAGCCATCTTGGTGATGGACGCCGACAGAGAGAGGAGGGGACAGTCACCCGGCAGGATAAAGTATTCTTTATCATAGGGGGGGGTAACTGTCATTTTGGTGTCACCCCTCCAATGGTGTCACCTGGGTGTTATTTTGAAAAAAAGCTGTAGATTTAAAATACTGAATTTTAATATGTTAAAAGATTATGACATTTTAGTAATTGGGTTTTCATATACTTTTAAACATATATAAAATGTATGTGAAACAAATGCATAACAAAATATACAGGGCCCCCCGAACCAGCGATTGAAGTATGAGTTGCCAAAGGAGTAACTAGCTGTGAAAGGGGCAGGGACTCTGCCTGCAAGGTTAGGCACCAGCAGTCAACACTGTGGAGGGCCTTATGCCCAAGTCCCCTCTTTGGTATCATGTAATAGGCAAGCTGATCAGAACCAGGAAAAATAATGCAATAGGTATTTTCACTACTTTGCTACGCATGAAGATTCCTGTCCCAACAAATCTCTATTTTTAAAGCAATATTCAGCTTTTTTAAATTAGATTTGACATCTTCTTGCAGGAAAGGACCCATAGAACACACATTCAGAAGCAATTAAGGGGAGAACAGCAAATATATTGACAAGCCCGTGGGTATCTTTGGAGTTTAGCTGGTGCCCGTTAGATTTTTTTCCTTCATTTGCATTCATGAATGGACAGCCCTAACCAGGTGTAGCATCTGCTGCAACTCTATACTAATAAGACTGCAGATGCGGGTTACAAATTGATACTGCACAACTTGCTCAGTGTTGACAGAACGCCTTACATACAAATGAATCTCATAATAAAGGCTATGGGCATGACTATATTAGAAGGTACAAATAAGACAAAAAAAAGCCACTGTAAACTCTAGCTGCCCCTACCCCAGGTAGAAAACATCTATCTGCAGGACCAAAATGTTTGCCATGCTTATTTTTGACAATCTCTTGCATATTTACTTATTACAGGTATTTATATAGCACTGACAATTTACGCAGTGCTTTACATATTTGCATATTCACATCAGTCCCTGCCCTCAAGGAGCTTGCATATGCCTGTATTACCAGTTTACATACATTTCAGTACAAACAAGTTCTGCTCTCTTGCCATATATTAAAAATACTTCTCATGATCTCATGAACTAGCATATCAAACACATAGTCTAGGTATTGAAAACATGGTGCATGACAACCAGAAGCATTGTTGGGGGAGGGGGGGGGGGGGTTAGATCATTTAGGATTGCAGCAAATCTACTCTTTTCAGACCCAGTCTGGTAGACTGGTAGACTTGTAGAAAGATAAGAGGATCAATAATGCTCAGGAAGAAAATCCTAAATATGCAGTGAACAGATATGGCTACCTACATTTTCAGATTTTAATAACATCCACACACAAGGTTTGTAACACATAACTTTAAAATCGATAAGACTTTTTATACTAAGCTGATCTCTTGAACAGCGAAAAAAACAAAAACATTAACCCTGTAGTTCCCCTTTGGACTGGTTTAGTATGAAGAGACTGTTCAGCTCTTGATTGGGTGTACAAATCTAAGACAATAATTTTTGACACCCTATCAAAATGCACTTATTGTGCAGCAGCCAACAGAAACCATCATTCAACAATCAGAGACACATGTGGATGAGGCTCTTGTATGAATGCAGCTTCCTTCCAGGACATTCAACTTCAGAATACTCCATTGCTGGTCAAATCCTAGCAGCCAATGTTCCTTAAAAGTAACAGTTGGGTGTCTAAAATTTGAGTTTTCCTCTAGCCCTTTTTAATGGAGTTGGCTCCTGGATTGGACAGAATGGCTCCAGAATCCCACATTAAATTGTCCACCCCCTGGAGTACACAGATACTGTATACCGGGGGTAGCCAAACTCTGGCCCTCCAGCTGAGGTGGAACTACAAATCCCATGAGGCATTGCAACATTATCACAGCCACGACTCCCGGAGAGAGATGCATCATGGGATTTGTAGTTTCACCACAGCTGGAGGACCAGCATTTGGCTACCCCTGCTGTATATCATCCTCTAAAAGATGGGGGCTCATACAAAAGCAGATTATATTGGCAGAGGGTCTAAAATGACTTTCTTGTTCAATAATGTATTGCCACCCTAACATACATATATATTAGACAATAGAAGACTTGAGGTATACTCACACATTACAGATAGCCTCAAAGGAATAGGAACCGCTGCAGATTCATGGTCGATGTTACAGGTGATGGGCATCCCGTCAGCTTGCGATGTTGGCGTCATCACATATCGGCTGACAACAGTGTATGTTCCGTTCGTGCCATTGGTCATTATGGTGGTTACGTTGCCAGGGAGGCTTGTTTGCCATGTGATACGGGACGGGGGCCTCCCATTGGACGATCTGCATGTGGCTACAGTTTGTTCTTCACCATTTGCTAGAGCCTCACTGTTGGCCTCAGCAGAATTCTGCGGCACAGCTGAAAGGTGGAAAATAAGGTTGTGTCACGTGAAGGTGATTTACAAATGTAGAGGAAAGCAATAGGCCTGCCTTGTTAGAGCATTCAGCTACCTATAATACTAGTATAGGCTAAACCAGGGGTAGGCAACCTCGGCTCTCCAGCTGTGCTGAAACTACAAATCCCATAAGGCATTGCTAGCCACAGGCATGACTGCCAGAGGCAGAAGCATGGTGGGATTTGTAGTTTCAGCACAGCTGGAGAGCCAAGGTTGCCTACCCCTGGGGTAAACAATTAAACATGATTAGCAAGGGCAACATTTCAAGTTTACATTTATAAACTGTACAAGAACATGCAATTCCATCTAACTAAGCCCAACTAGAGTCTCACACCTTTATTTCCTCTCTACAGTACTATACCCCTGTATGGTATGATTTGTGCATGATTTGTGCATGAAAATGCTTTAAAATACCACTTTCTGGGCGTGAAAATGCTGCTTTCTGCCTCACACTGCAGTGCCCTGCGCTGGCAGAGCTGAGCAACAGCCACACCCTTCAGGGCAATAGTTCGTAGACAGATTTGTATTGCAGTGAAGGAAATGGGGCATGCCTCAGCATTATATTTACATAACATAGCTTAGTGGGTCTAACTCTGTAGCAAATAAGACTGCACTGTCAACTTTAGATACCATGAACAACTGGGGCAACAGGGAAGTGGAGGTAAACCGTGGAAAATTGGCATTATTACTACATACACAGTCTTTTTGGCTATATATTAATTTCCTGTTACTTCAACTGAGCTTCAAACAAACTAAATGTGTAGAAACAACACACCGTGTTGAAGATGATTTACCTATCACAGCCAGTTTTGTTGTGGCCTTGCGGTTACCAGCAGGAAAGAGGGTTACTTCACAAGAATAGTCTCCTTCTTCGGCGGCACGGAGTGATAGGATGCGGAGTGTTGCACTGCTAGGTGAAGGCTCGAGCAGCTGATAACGGTTTGGCTCACTCACGTGAGTTCCATGTTGGGGACTGTAAACGGCTATGCTGTTGCCTCCTTTTTCCCACATTATTTGGCTGACACGGATATTGGGGTCGCTGCTGATCGTGCATGGTAAAATGGCTTCCTGGTCAATAATACCGGTGAGCGTTTCCTTGACGTAGATCTGCTGGGCCTGTATGACTGAGAGTAGAGAATCCAATAAGTACAGCAGAGGGTAATAGAGTAAGTACATTATTAAATAGAACAAAGTTTAGCATACATTGGTCCTAATTTAGCAGTGTTTGAGGAACAATTGTAATCTTCTATAGCAACCTAAATCTCTTCTGCAGTGCAGCATGGGAAAACAAAAAGATGAGCCTGACTGATCGCTGTTACAGTCAAAAACAGCTTTTTCGTCAGACGTGTTAGGTAAAGCCCGCTATATTATACAGTTTACATCCTAAAGAGAGCCTATCATTCAGATGTAAATCTAAATGTAGTAATAGAGAATGGTGGTGGCCATAATGTGGTATAGCACCATCTTGCAAGATTTGGGCTACTCTGCATTTTCTGGGACCTCATCAGAAGTTTTCCTCAATAATGGAACTGTACTCAGTTTCAGCACCCTCACCCTGTACACTATGCCAATGTCTTAACCGGTGCTTATATCATTTATATAATTTGCTAAATCAATGCAGAAAGTTTAAAGTCCTCCTTTAGCTAACTTAAAAATTTACCAAGGATGGAAGCTTTCAATATGTTAGATATCTTTTGCAGACATCATACAATTTTACATTGGCCATGAAGAAACACTTTGTAGCAGCTTACCAGTCCTCAGATGATGTGGCCGAATTCTTTTTTTTTCCAGGGAACAGTGCTAATGGATAACAGTGGGGTACAGGCAGGGAGCACAGGAAGTTAAGAGCTTACTAGATTTAAGCAGGATCAACAGGTATTTTATGAACTTATTGAAGAGATATAGAAAACTAGTTTCAATGGTATCTTCAACAGACCCATGTTCGGGTTTATGTACACTTCAAATTCCAAACTGCATATTGATCATTGGCCGACCTGGTACAACACTGGTACTATTTACAAACTCTGGATCAGCACTGGACAGCTCCTAGAATACTTGAAGTGCTTATTGTTTTTTTTTTTTTTTTTAAGGCCGCTACTCATTTAAAATGAACAGTGCCCATAGACGTGATATTAATACCACACGTAATTATCGTGCAGCGATGCGTTCAAATTTCCCTTTAACTACTCGTTAGGAATCAAGTGTTACGCACCATGTGTTGCCGAGCAATTATTTACAATGTGAATACTGCTCATTTAAACAATCTTCAGTGAATCGAGGTCTTTGTAATATTTATGAAGGTTATCACAGGGCTTCCTGATGCCCCAGATTTCCAAGAAATATCCCATTTGTCACAAAGAGAGAACGGTTTTCATGGAAAGCAGACAGAAAGTGAATTGTTGGTGCATGGCTCATAGAACCCTTTTACAGCATGAAGCAATTTCCCAGAAGGCATTGTGTCACATTTATGGCCCAGACAAACCTCAGAGTGAAAGAATTGGCCTCTAATGTACCAAGAAGCCCCATTAAAAAAGTCAGGAATGTAAATAATGTGTAATTGAAGGGCTGACTGTAATTTTTGACTTACAACAGTAATGCCGAGGAATTCAAACTCGGGCCTCGCTGCTTGATTCCATTAGTACTGTATATTTACTTAAGATGGTTTACATAGGGCAGAGGAACAGGACAGATGGGCATAAATCAGCTGCAAACCAATGAATGGTTGAATAACTCTTTATTTATATGTTGTATAGCAAATGCAAATACACTTTATAGCTTTGGAACCAAAGCCATTAAGTTCTTGAACAGTTTAAAAAGTATAGTCTCCTTAATGCGTGTTCAGCCTGAACACCATTATCAAGATACATTGGGGCATAAATATGATATGGTACATTTTCTTGGTGACAGCATCCAGCTTTCCCCCATATTTTGCTGTCTTTTTCCACTATAAAAGTCCTGCATTCGTTGGTCTGCCAACTGGCCAATCTAAGTACCACCTCTTGGCATCCATGCAATGGTAGGTGCAGTGTGATGATACCCAGTTATTTTTGGAGAGCAAATCCCAAAAGAAAGTATCCCTCCCCTCACTGCCCATCCCTACTCTACCTGTTCTGTTATCCAGCAGGACTATAAGACAACTGCAGCTAATGACATGGCCAATGTCCTGTGCCATGTTGTTGCCTCTGAGGGAAGCTTGTGAAATAGGTCCACCGTATATTTACACCCCTACCAACTGGAGTTTTTTTTTTAAATGAGGATTACAAGATGGAAAAATACCATACCATATGCAAACTTTAAGAAAAAATAAAAGGTATTTTGTTAAATTATAAATGTAGATTCCATCAAAAATTGTCCATCAAAAATTGTTCATTTTTTAAATGTAGAGTTTGTTGTTATATATGAATATGAGGGCAGACATATTTGCTAATTGATAAGCAGGCTCTGTTTCTTAACGTTGCAGTGCTACATAGTGGCTGTGCTTTGCTGCCCCTTCTCACGCTGAAATTCTTCAGATCCATTAATTTGAGTATCTAAATCCAAAACTAATTATATTGCAGCTTACCAATCCTTACGTGTGGTGGCTGCATTAGGTTTTTTAGCCTACTTTTTAGTCTTTTTTTTTTTTTTTACTTTAACATGGTGATCCAGCTAGAAGTCTGATATTTTTCAACTTCCATTTACACAATCTGTCCAGCAAAAGTGGCACCACACCTAGAATTGGTGAGCTGTAATAGATTACATTTTTGCTTTTGGCCTTAGATCCGCTTTAACTCCCCATGTGGCTAACATGGTAATTTGTTAAACAGGGAGTCTGAGTGAATGCAATGAAATACAGCGCTCTATCTAGTAGTTAATCCACAAGTCTCTATATTTAAATAACAAAGCACAGGTATGTCAATTTGAAAAAAACTGGCATAAAAAGCCTCGGCCACATTCCAGGAGACTGTTAATGGCTGCTGCCAAGTTTTGGGGCATGGGAGTGCAAAGGTTGTCTAACCCTGTTCTAAGACCCCATTCACACTAAGCGACATGGAGAATCACACGCTTTTCCGCACAATTTCGTGCTGAGCGGCATTGAGCTACATTGCTCCATATCAAGCGACAGTGCACATTTTGTCGCGCTACGTAGCACAACTTTTGGGAGGGACTTAGTCGCTGCTACATTGGGCTGTAACCAATCAACAGCGGTCTTGATGTGACATCATTCTTTCCTTCCATATTGCTGTGCAAAAGTGACCCTTCTGTAGCGCGATATCGTGCAGCAAGGTCCTGCAATGATCGCCGGTAATGCGCAACTTTGCGCGCCACCATTGAGTCACTTGGGGCCAAATCGCGCGACATCCGCCGAAAACTAGGTCATGTTCGAGCTACAGGCAACATTGAGCTGTGAGATGTAAACAGCTCCATTGAAATGCATTGGACAAGCTACATTGAGCGACATTGCACGAAAATATTCGCGATTTTGGAGTGGAAATCGCACGACAAACCGCTCAGTGTGAACGGGGTCTTAGAGACTGCTAAAGGCAGCTGCCACATTCCAGGGGGAGACTGCTAAAGGCTGTTGCCAAGTTCTAACTTAATGTAATTAGGCAATTTTACCTCCTTACCCGTCTACCTGTCAAGAAACAAACCCCTGGTCTTAAAATTAGAACTTTACCCATACCTTTAAAACGACAACAAAGGCACCCTTATAAAATGTTTAGTAATGGCAATCTACAGACCGATACTTCTATATAATTGCCGGCTTTTCGTTCTTTGTATTCCTTATATTTAATTTCCTCCCCATTCTTCTCAGGTAGCAATTTTTACTAAGGGCAGATTAATTCATCTCCCTTTGCTTCCTGGAACTCTGGCACATGAGACTAGGACAGGTAACCATGCACATCATCTCAGGAGAGGAAAATGCCTTTCACTGAGACCTCGTGGGATTTTGGAGTTTACAGTAGAGATTTCCCATCAATGATCTGTGATATAACCTTCCCAGGATTCATCTCTTAGGTACAGGCTACATCACTAACGGCTAAGATGACCAGGAAGTTGAAAAACAGTAATTGTACAAAAAAGAAATAGGTTTATTTTCACGAATGAATATAAGAGGATTTCATATAATCGGCATGCAGAGCTGAATGCTGATGTGACCTTTAGTGAAAGAGGTTAAAGGTCCATGTTAAACAGGCCACAAAATAACTTCTAGCTTGATTTATGTAACCTGCCCAAGCCAATATCTTTATCAGATTGTAGTAGTCTGTGGGTTCCTGACTTTCTTTGGAATCAAGTGCAGAATTGTGAGAATGGCACAGAGCTGACCACATTCTGGAAAACACCAGCATTTTCTACTGTTCTGCGTTAATGGCCCTTTTAACCTTCAATAAAAAGTATTCCATATTTTAGATCCTTCTGATGATCATACATGCACACACTCAGAAAATGTGGCATGTATCCACAAGCTTACATGCAGCAATTATCAGGCCTGTGTGAGCTGGCTGCAGATATGTAAATGTACTGCCTTGAGGGAAAAGATCTACATGCTTTATACCTCTGAAGTATTTAACTCAGCTTGGCACTCCAACTCCACTTCTTGCAGTGAAAGTGGGGGGAGGGTGGACGTCTCCTAGAAACCTACAAATTACAATGAAATGTAAAGCTGTAGCCAAGCAGTGAAGAGGTCCTAAATAAAAGGAAAGCTTGCCTGGGAGAGACTGATACAACAACTAACAGCTTTAGTCAACTGGAGACTGTCAATTATCTGCAACAGGTCCAAATTTGGGTTTCAGAAAAACACACGCACAAACAATCCATTAACGAAGAAAAAAGCCAACAAAAAAAAAAATTGGATACCAAATTGAATGCATGCCAATTGTCAAATTTCATCCATCCGGTTTGTGGTAGCGGTTTGTTGGCTATAGATCTCATGCCAGAATGTATACATCTCTCAGAGACCACTACAGCAACATTTTCCTGTAGTAGTGTATGCCTAACTCCACCCCCTCCTATAAAGCTTTCACAATGGACTCACCCTGACCTAGAGAAAACTGTCCCAAATATTATTTTTTTATCAACATTACTGCAAATTCACCAGGGAGGCATTATTTCATCACTTGGTACTGTGATGACTGCAGCTGTA